TCATTGCAAACTATTCAATTTATTTGTGTGGTCTCGAGCTGGGTGTGTTTGGTGCTCATTAGTTTGAATGTTTGTTACGTTGTTTTATACATCGCTCTGATAAGGCAATCCGTAACAATGACTTTCTACATAAACAATCCCCAAAATAGGTCGTCCGTAACAGTGACTTTCTATATAAACAATCCCCAAAATAGGCCATCCGTAACAATGACTTTCTATATAAACAATCCCCAAAATAGGTCATCCGTAACGGTGACTTTCTATATAAACAATCCCAACAATAGGCCATCCGTAATAATGACTTTCTATATATACAATCCCCAAAATAGGTCATCCGTAACAATGACTTTCTATAGAAACAATCCCCAAAATAGGCCATCCGTAACAATGACTTTCGTTATAAACAATCCCCAAAATAGGTCATCCGTAACGGTGACTTTCTATATAAACAATCCCCACAATAGGCCATCCGTAATATTGACTTTCTATATAAACAATCCCCACCATAGGTCATCCGTAGCAATGACTTTCTATATAAACAATCCCCACAAGAGGCCATCCGTAATAATGACTTTCTATATAAACAATCCCCAAAATAGGCCATCCGTAACAATGACTTTCTATATAAACAATCCCCAAAATAGGCCATCCGTAACAATGACTTTCTATATAAACAATCCCCACAATAGGCCATTCGTAACAATGACTTTCTATATAAACAATCCCCAAAATAGGCCATCCGTAACAATGACTTTCTATATAAACAATCCCCCCAAAGAAAAGGCCATCCGGATCAGCGACATTCTTCGGCCATCTGTATACATAAACAATTCCCAGGACATCCGGATCAATTGTTTTCGCCATTAACAATTCCGAAGATAGGCAATCTATATCAATGACTTTCTCTATAAACAATATCCAACATAGGCCATCCGTATTTATGACATACTACATTTGGATGGTTTTGAGTTGTATTGTAAAAGAGATTTTTTTCCCTTTTTTAAATTAAACCTATTTATGATCCTGTTGAAAAACAAAACAAAAAAAAACAGTTAACAGGAATCAGTTGTCCTTAACATCAACTTACGTCATCAATCTCCACAAATCTCAGGACATGACCATTGAAAAGTTGGTAGTCCATGGTGAAACTTGCTTCCAACTTGTCCAGATAAGGGTAGCAGTTAGTTGATATACTACAACAAGTGATGGATATGGATGTCAGTTACTTACATAAACGGCGTTTCATCTACAGCAGCACCACAGTAATTATCCTAGCACTTTAATCTGAGTGAACCTGTAGAATTCAAGCCTCACATGGACCAGGAACCACGGCATAATCCTAGCACCTTACTCCTAGTTTCCCTGTTGACTTCAAGCCTCACATGGACCAGGAACCACGGCATAATCCTAGCACCTTACTCCTAGTTTCCCTGTTGACTTCAAGCCTCACATGGACCAGGAACCACGGCATAATCCTGGCACCTTACTCCTAGTTTCCCTGTTGACTTCAAGCCTCACACTGACAAAGAACAACAGCAATAGCCCAGCACCTTAATCTGAGTGAACCTGTTGACTTTAAGCCTGAAATGTTGTAATGAGAGTTGTGGACATCCAGGTGACAGCCCAGAATATTCAGCCATGTCTGACATTTATGATTTTATTGAAGATATTACTGCGTTGTTCCTGTGAATATTTATTAGTATGTTTAGACAGTACGAAATACGGTTAGTAAAAAAGGCAATAGAAACATCGGGAGAGGCATTGAGAAAACCTGATATTGAATTAGTAAAGGGAGACAACTTATAAGATAAAAAAAAATATCAGATGTCTTCGTATGAATTCATTTCTGGTCCCAGTCACATGTGTCTAAGGAATTACAACCTACTATTAAAGAAACAAGCCAGGCCAAGAACATAAAACAGAATAGAGGAAAGAGACAGGAGGTAAAGGGAAAGGATTATTTATGTTCTATTTATAGTACGGTCCCTATCCTTTTTCTAATTTCATAACGACTGCAAATAAGCATTCCATGCAGCCTCCAATATAAACGTGTTACGTTTTTATTGAATTCTAAACTCGCTGCTACCACAAGAGTAAAGTCCTTTAAACTTTTAATCTCTGCGCCGCACACCAATTAAATATTCTTTTTCAACTCTAACACTAGTGTTATGATTTTCAGATTTCAAGCTCAAACACAAGTGCAATGATCATTGAATTCCCAGCGCTAACACCAGTGCAATGATCTTTATATTCCCAGTGCTAACACCAGTGCAATGATCTTTATATTCCCAGTGCTAACACCAGTGAAATTATCTTTATATTCCCAGTGCTAACACCAGTGCAATGATCTTTATATTCCCAGTGCTAACACCAGTGAAATTATCTTTATATTCCCAGTGCTAACACCAGTGAAATTATCTTTATATTCCCAGTGAAATTATCTTTATATTCCCAGTGCTAACACCAGTGCAATGATCTTTATATTCCCAGTGCTAACACCAGTGCAATGATCTTTATATTCCCAGTGCTAACACCAGTGCAATGATCTTTATATTCCCAGTGCTAACACCAGTGCAATGATCTTTATATTCCCAGTGCTAACACCAGTGCAATGATCTTTATATTCCCAGTGCTAACACCAGTGCAATGATCTTTATATTCCCAGTGCTAACACCAGTGCAATGATCTTTATATTCCCAGTGCTAACACCAGTGCAATGATCTTTATATTCCCGGTGCTAACACCAGTGCAATGATCTTTATATTCCCGGTGCTAACACCAGTGAAATTATCTTTATATTCCCAGTGCTAACACCAGTGAAATTATCTTTATATTCCCAGTGCTAACACCAGTGAAATGATCTTTATATTCCCAGTGCTAACACCAGTGAAATGATCTTTATATTCCCAGCGCTAACACCAGTGCAATGATCTTTATATTCCCAGTGCTAACACCAGTGAAATGATCTTTATATTCCCAGTGCTAACGCCAGTGCACGATCTTTAAACCCCCAGCGCTAACACCAGTACAACAGTGTAATGATCTTTGACCGTTGGCAAGTGTGTTACAGACTTCCTTTAATTAACGCCTGATATTTCTTTCAAACCTGTACACTGATTCCAGTCAAAGTTTTCCTATTTCAGCTTCTATCAGTTCAGTAACAGATGTAGATAGATTTACACTTTATTTAGAACACAAATCACAAGTAAATCCATCAAATGATATCTACACTTTCAGCTTCCTTATCTCTATATAAACTACCCTAATTATCAACATTTGTAATACCAGCTTATGTTGGTTCTTATTACACAAACCGGACAGACATTACTGAATATCGTTAGTGTTCAAACTATACCATTATTACAGACACAAACCGGACAGACACTACTGACAATATCGTTAGTGTTCAAACCATACCGTTATTGCAGACACAAACCGGACAGACACTACTGACAATATCGTTAATGTATTACAGACACAAACCGGACAGACACTACTGACAATATCGTTAATGTATTACATACACAAACCGGACAGACACTACTGACAATATTGTTAATGTATTACAGACACAAACCGGACAGACACTACTGACAATATCGTTAATGTATTACAGACACAAACCGGACAGACACTACTGACAATATCGTTAATGTATTACAGACACAAACCGGACAGACACTACTGACAATATCGTTAATGTATTACAGACACAAACCGGACAGACACTACTGACAATATCGTTAATGTATTACAGACACAAACCGGACAGACACTACTGACAATATCGTTAGTGTTCAAACTATACCGTTATTACAGACACAAACCTGACTGATGCTTCTCACAATAAGGATAGGAATTTGAATTTCGACATAAAGTCAGTTTTATTTTTTTTTTTTTAATGTAATTTTTGTTTACAACTTTGTTGGTCGCCTCTGAACATTCTCTACTGTTTCTTTACTGTTGTAAAGTAGCTAGCATATCCCAGGTCAAACTAATGCTTTAATTCATATTAAATTATTTTGTTGTCTAAATAGATAAATGTTGATTTGAGAAGTGAGGTGTCTCTCATTGGCCTTGCTGTCCCTGTCTCCAACTTTCCATGTCTTCTATTGTTAGTATCATATGACCGGGTAGGGTGTCATGCTACTGTACGCTAGCTGTGTCGGTGTCGTGGTGCTGTAGATACACAATCAATGTGGTTGAGGTAGAGAGAGTACAACGACAAGTGACAATATTACATGAAACTGATGATACCAGTCTAATCTCAAATCGCTGACCGGAACTTCCTGCAGAATGTTCTCAAAAACAACGGAAGATTTAAAAAAAATTGTGATAAACTGTAGTGATGGTTTTAGACCAAGCGTTTTGTTAAGATAAAAAAATTCAGCTGATGAAGGAGTAGTGTTTGTCAGCCATATTGGCATGCAAAATATGTGAAACCAACAGCCACATTGTTGTGATGATCTTGGATTTAGAGACAATCGTGATCAACCACTTTAAGTTATTAGGAGAGGTGAAAGCTTTCACATGGTAACATTTCTATTTCACAATTAATGTTATTCCGAGTTATCTCCCGTGAACCCCGTCTCCCTGTGTATACACACGTCCCATGGCAGTCATGTGACACGCCTACACTATACATAGTACACACATGTGAGTATAGTGCGGAAGTTGTATGGTGCCTGTCACTCTCTAAGGAATACTCTGTTGTGAGGTAATTGTACCGTAACCGTTTGTTATTGAACAAACTTGACTGACAGCTGATGTTGTCGATATTTCAAAAATAAACACCCGATGACGTAGGTGTAGAAACATGCGAGTTGGAGTGTGGTGAGAAACGCTTATCGCAGATTTCTCGGATCGCCTCTCATTGACAGGTAAATAAAGAGACCGATGTATTACTAGCGACAGTGTTTTGAATCTAGGTAAACTTATAATCCAATGTGTGTTTTCACGTCCACAGTAAATTCTGCTATGTGAATACTGGCATTTCCTGGACATACAAGTGAACATTCGGATCGTGTATCGTGTGTGTACACTACCTCAGGACCACACTACCTCTGGACCAGAGTGTTATAGAAGACGGGTAAGTCGTGATAATGTATTTTTGTAATACACTGACGGAAGGTAAATAAGTACATATCGAGCCCTTAACAAGTAATCTTAGCCAGTTAAAGTTTTTGTACTGCGGGACACCGTAACGCGCGTTGTATTTATACGTAAAATGGAAAGTCGTGTGGCAGTGATTAGGAAATCACAGCGTAGATACATATTTATATACATGTATAAGATAGGTAATAGATTAGTAATTGAATAACTTAATTTTTGTTGACTGCAACAGGAACGTACATTTGTGGTGATATTTTTACAATAAAACTTTTACTGTCTTCACGTTGTATTGTGGAAGCTTCGGGTGGTGGGAGTTTCCCTTTAGCCAAGCGGTAGATTTTCCAGCTGGAAACCGAAGGGTGGCAGGGTATTTTTCATTACTCCTTCCTATTACAATATAGTTCAAGGATTAAGTGATCTTTCAGATATTAAAAAATTGTTTTTATAAATGTGAATACTACACCCTATTACGCTTTATAGTGCTGTTGGTATTAAATGTTATTTCATGATAGATAGCTCAAACTCCTGTCATAAAATTAATACTTGACGTAATTTACAGATAAGGGGAACATACAAGATTCATTATCGTAGAGTTTGAAAGTAAGGGGAGATAAAACTAGTACAGAAAAATATAGCAGAGAAAAATTGTTAGAAAGTTCAGAAGTTTACACAACATATATATATACACTTACATTCGGATGGGCGGGGAAATGTAGCCTTAGATCTGAAATGGTATATCAAATATGCACAATCTCTGTGCCTTCTGCTTGTTCTTGAAATATGGTGGAAATATGAGCTCATTAATTTGTGTTTGGAGCCTCGTCTAGTTTTAGATTAGATCTGTGTTATTTCCGACCGTTGGGGTACACAACATCACTTCCCACTTACATCTATGCGTTTACACTACACGAGAGTCTTTCTGTAATGGTATTTGGTGTTGATATTACTTACATTTCCCTGTGGAGTAAAATTATTCTATTACTGCCAGCGACAGAAGAAAACCTCAGCATAACTCTCCTGCGGTTACTGATACTGTCATTCATTTGTCCATCTCAGTAAAAATGTGATGCTCATGCCAAGGTCATTAAATGCACATACTCCTCCAGTTAAATGGTGATTCGTTTTTTAATCATTATATGTCCTTAGTTTAATTACAATGAGGCATTCTTCGTTGGCTGCGCCAGTCGGAAATCGATTGTGATGTCATAATATCGACAATGACGTTACGCCAAAACTCGCCAAAACAAAACCTTACAAGGATCGTTCGTAAAATTTCATATTGAACGAAAGGTCCTTTACACACGTATAATAAATCTATACAGAATGCACTGGAATTTTAATCACGAATTAGACCGCGATTTCACGGTCTAAATATTGGAATGCATGAGATCGGCATTCCTTTCAGACTTAAAATACCTGTCTCGTCTGTTATCCGCTTACCCGCTTATAGAAAATGGCTTGACATCGTTTTGTTGTGATAATGCCTTAATATTGATAATCGGGGAGAATAAAACGCAACGCAAAGGTAAACATCATAAGATTGTTTTATTCTACGGGCTATTTTGAACATCTGAATGTACTTGATGGACCATCCACGTGAAGAAAGAAGCTAATATTGAAATCTTAGCGTCAATTATGGACCTAGAGATAGCGGCGTTGGTTTTTAGAGAAAATGTAATATATATTATGATTCATTAACGTAATTCTGATACCCCCTAACTTTAACACCCGATTTTAAATATTTTGACAAGCAATGTGTTGTATATAAGCCACTGCTTTACCTTCACTGTCCTGTAATACTACGTCTCGATATACTGGAGGGATAGGACCACGTCTATTGATAGTTAACCACTTTGTTTCTGCCATTTTCTGATATAGAGGTGTGATTATTCAATAGGTAATGAAAATGGTACGTTTCTTACTTCCATGTCTGTGGGATGTTTGTGTTTCTGTCGATAATGAGTGATTGGTTTCCATGGGAATTTACTTTATCAAAGACACAAAAGTGGAAAACACCTTTAAATACAAACTTAGATACAATATAATCTAATACTGATTCAAGTTGCATCATACAGCTGTTGTTAAGAGTCTAAAAATCACGCCCACAGGGAGATACAACAGAATGCTTCCTATTGATATACTGTTTCCAACTTTAAAATCGTCCTATATATTATGGGGAAAATTTGGAGTGTCTTGCTCAGCATAACTGTTTTACAGGATATTTGAATTAGTCACTAAAATATTTGGTATTTACAGGGCCTAATATGCGGATTTGAAGTGCTCATTGAACATCACAACATCTTTCTGGTATCTTTTTTATTTATGACTTGAAGGATCATCTTTAAGGGGCCATTGAAGTTAGTTGATATAATGTCGGATTAACACATACGGACCGGCAAACGTGGCCTCCAGAGTACAGAACGTTACAAAGACACGGAAACGTCACACTGTGGTGAACATTGAGGGGACGTCTTACGACTTAGTGTGTTGGTTAGAAAGGGAAGATGTTAAGAGTTTGTGGGACGTCTCACGAGACTTAGTGTGTTGGTTAGAAAGGGAAGATGTAAAGAGTTTGGGGGACGTCTCACGAGACTTAGTGTGTTGGTTAGAAAGGGAAGATGTAAAGAGTTTGGGGGACGTCTCACGAGACTTAGTGTGTTGGTTAGAAAGGGACGATGTTAAGAGTTTGTGGGACGTCTCACGAGACTTAGTGTGTTGGTTAGAAAGGGAAGATGTAAAGAGTTTGGGGAACGTCTCACGAGACTTAGTGTGTTAGTTAGAAAGGGAAGATGTAAAGAGTTTGGGGGACGTCTCACGAAACTTAGTGTGTTGGTTAGAAAGGGACGATGTAAAGAGTTTGTGGGACGTCTCACGAGACTTAGTGTGTTGGTTAGAAAGGGAAGATGTAAAGAGTTTGTGGGACGTCTCACTAGACTTAGTGTGTTGGTTAGAAAGGGACGATGTTAAGAGTTTGTGGGACGTCTCACGAGACTTAGTGTGTTGGTTAGAAAGGGACGATGTTAAGAGTTTGTGGGACGTCTCACGAGTGTGAGACTTAGTGTGTTGGTTAGAAAGGGAAGATGTAAAGAGTTTGGGGCACGTCTCACGAGACTTAGTGTGTTGGTTAGAAAGGGACGATGTTAAGAGTTTGTGGGACGTCTCACGAGACTTAGTGTGTTGGTTAGAAAGGGAAGATGTAAAGAGTTTATGGGACGTCTCACGAGACTTAGTGTGTTGGTTAGAAAGGGACGATGTTAAGAGTTTGTGGGACGTCTCGCGAGACTTAGTGTGTTGGTTAGAAAGGGAAGATGTAAAGAGTTTGTGGGACGTCTCACGAGACTTAGTGTGTTGGTTAGAAAGGGACGATGTTAAGAGTTTGTGGGACGTCTCACGAGACTTAGTGTGTTGGTTAGAAAGGGAAGATGTAAAGAGTTTATGGGACGTCTCACGAGACTTAGTGTGTTGGTTAGAAAGGGAAGATGTAAAGAGTTTGTGGGACGTCTCACTAGACTTAGTGTGTTGGTTAGAAAGGGACGATGTTAAGAGTTTGTGGGACGTCTCACGAGACTTAGTGTGTTGGTTAGAAAGGGACGATGTTAAGAGTTTGTGGGACGTCTCACGAGACTTAGTGTGTTGGTTAGAAAGGGAAGATGTAAAGAGTTTGTGGGACGTCTCACGAGACTTAGTGTGTTGGTTAGAAAGGGACGATGTTAAGAGTTTGTGGGACGTCTCACGAGACTTAGTGTGTTGGTTAGAAAGGGAAGATGTAAAGAGTTTATGGGACGTCTCACGAGACTTAGTGTGTTGGTTAGAAAGGGACGATGTTAAGAGTTTGTGGGACGTCTCGCGAGACTTAGTGTGTTGGTTAGAAAGGGAAGATGTAAAGAGTTTGTGGGACGTCTCACGAGACTTAGTGTGTTGGTTAGAAAGGGACTATGTTAAGAGTTTGTGGGACGTCTCACGAGACTTAGTGTGTTGGTTAGAAAGGGACGATGTTAAGAGTTTAAGGAGCCCCTCACGACTAAGTGTGTTGATTAGAAAGTAAAGATAAAATGAGTTTGGGGGACGTCTCTCGACCCATTATGTTAGTCAATAAGTCCGAAGAACATTATAATTTCTGAACCCAATAGCTTGAAAAACCCTTTGAATATGTAAACATATCCCATTGATAGGTCAAAGGTGGCGTATAGTAATATTTACAGATGAGCAATTCCAAAGGCCAGTGTTGAATCTAAACAGTAAGCATGTAGGTTTAACATATCTTTTTCGTCTGTTTTCCCAATGCACTGATTCTACATTATACCATACACTTTCAGGTGCGGCATGCAAAGTTTCCTGTATAATGACGTTTTACAAGAATGAAGATCAGTGGGTGGAAATCAAACCATTTATCCACCAGGTGGGGGGACATACATGTTTGTTTGAAATAACACAAGAAACAATATGTAAACCATACCAGGAGAAAGAGTTCCAGTTTTATCAAAATCTACCAGAAGATATGAAGGAATTCACGCCCCATTACAAAGGTAGGTAAATAAGGAACAGAGATTTACCAGGCAAGAGGCGAGTGATGTGAATAGATATGGCTAATGTGTGTTGCCTACAAAATTGAACTGTTGTTTAGGTTTAATGAAGAAACTACAGGTGGTATATCTACTGCCAAACTTGGTACACGTCCCTCTTTACCTCATTTTTGATACAACGTTATCTATCCGAACAATTTTGGTTTGGTCGTTGTCAGAAGTAGTCAAGCGATTTAGATGTGGCCACGTGACTTGCGGACGTTTTGATAATTTTGCTATACATGGGCTGTGGAAAAAAATTGAATTGATATTTATTAATCGGAAACAAAAAAAAAAGTCAGGATATACAATGTAAAGTGATTGGTCTTCTAGAAGTGATACAGGATGACAAGAATGTTTTCTCGGTAAATCTATCTGTACTTTTAGATATTTTCATATTTTCAAGAATGCAAATTCATTTTGTGTGATATCAGTTGTTTTTAGTAGGCAGCGATGTTTGATTCGTTATTTACATTGCAACCCGGAGATAACCAGTTTCCCCATATTAGTGTAATGAATCATGTAAATACATTCTAAAGTAATGGAATAAGCATACAGGATGTGGAATTTCGGAAAGGATTGGGCAAACACTCATAATCCGTCGTGGCTATTACATTCCGCCAGCTAAAAAGGTTTGTATTACGTGTCTGACCTAGTTTCAAGGTCGTATTGCGTCATGAATAAGTCATGTGATATGTGTATCGGGGTTGACGCTTAATCTGTCACGTCATGTAGTATCAGCTGAATTAAGAAATATTTCTCAAGTTATACGTCAAAGTCAGGGATTGGAAATCGATTTTAAGGTAGCCGATCTGTAATAGTGTATTTTGAAATAGGCGATTTAAGATAATTTGATTCTAAACTTATACGCCACTCAAACATGAATTATATTTGTGCTTTTTTCAGTTTGTTACAAACTTGGCCTCACTTTCAGGAGACTTACACCTTTTAATTATGCTTATGAACAGATTGCCCTTTCGTTTTAACAAAGATGTTTTGTTTGATAAAAACAGTTAAACGGGTATTTTCAGTATTGATCGGTCGCTTTATGATATATACAGTATATTACAAAGTGTGCCTTTATACTTGATTTCGTGAGCGTGTCCTTTTAAGCTACAAATGTATAAATTTTGTTAAGCTGAAATTCTTAAATTGTAAATGTGTTGGCACAACAATAAGTTTTGTCTGTAAAGTAAAACGAGAATAAAATTGACTGATACACAATTCTAGCCAACTGTATCCAGATAGTGGAAGCAACTGAACTGTAAACAAACACGATCACTGAAACATGACGCGAGTTAAGTGGCATTCGTATGTCAATGAGCGCGAAGAGGATTGGTGAGGCGAGGTGAAGTTAAAGGTATAATTTACTATGCAACCATCTTCCGTTATTGTTGCATCATTAAAATTTATAGATAAAGGGAAAAAAACACTGTCACTGTGAAATGGACACGATGGCTGAATAGCGCTCATGTCCATTTTTGTATTTGCTGGCTGACGTCTTGATGATACAGGTTGTCGGTTACCGCTGTGACAAATCATTCACGTTCACTGGACCTGTAGATGTGATAAGACTGAATTCTCTTTACTTAGCCACTCTCTGTGACTAGGTGAATTAGCCTTATAGAGACGGGTGATCCTATTGAATCAAGTCTGTTTATGTTGTTTGTAGTGTTGGTTCGACCAAGCGAAACCTTCTGTGGTATGCTTCCGTCAGTATTCTATTGAAAAAGTAATGAGTTAGACATGGTCTCTTGCATGATAATCAATAACGAACTCTCATTATGTTCCATTAATCCTAATCAAATCTTGTTTGTATCGCTTCAGGTTTGGTCTGTGTCAAGTGTAGTCATGACAACGATAGTACCACGTTCTATGCTGAAGTACCCGGATATATCCTTCGGAAGACGGATTATCAAAGTGATTTGTAAGTGTAGAATTTACGCGAACATTTTTCAATAAATAACAAATTGAAACATGTATATAATTACGATATTTTCCTTCAGGACTGAATAATTCTCTCATCAGTTCATCTGTATGTAGCCCGGAATCGTCCGTCAGTTCCGACTTGCCTCTTAGTTAGAGATAGTTTCCTCATTCGGGATGTTCTGCGAGTCCTTGTGATACATCAGGGCACATGTAGTTTACAAACAATATGTTATGTCAGCCTCTAAACATACTGTATATTATTACTGAGATGTCCCATTATATCAAACGTAGTAATTCAAGTCGCGAAAAAAACCACAAACAAATTCAAAGCAAAAAAAAAAAAAAAAGCAAAACAAAACAAAACACAAAAACCAAGAGAAAAAAGCAGTATTACAATCCCACCAAATATAACATTTTTTTCTATATTACATTTCACAATACAATAGTATGCTCCGCTTAGTCTCTTTCATGGTGAATTGATTTCTAAAGATGTGATTTTTAAATCGGTAGCTAAAAATATGTGTTTGGTTCATAGATTGTAAACAGAAATATCTTTATCAGAAGCCATGGCCTACGGAGTTTTATAATTTAAAACCAAGTAAATGTTCTCTCCTGACGACAGATGAGTCACGCTGTTTAAAATGTCTGGGTGCTTCACTCTACAAATTTTGAAAAAAATAGGTACGACCCTGACCAACATCAGAGCTTACACCGGTAAAATTCCACGACACCTTTCCTGGACTTATTTTTTAATGACCAGATATTATGGGACATATTTGTGAAATGAGTTACAGTACTGATATATAAGATAAACTTCATTGGCTGTTGTTCACGGCAACAGGGTAAAACCTATTTTATCATGCACACTATTTGATAAGATATCACGATACTTCAGACTAGTGATAGTGTTATCGGAGGTGTCGCGATCAGTGAAGTTGACTATGCTGAAATAACACATAATTTAGTTCTCAATAAAATTGTACATTTTTAGTCTGTAGCAAGTGTTTACAATTTTGATTTCAAACCGACTTTCATTTGGTATAACAACAATTCTCTCATATAAATCAATAGAGACGTAAGATTAGAGCGACATGACACGCAACTTGTGTTTACATATTAATAGCCACAGTATGTTGACCTAAAGCCTATGTTTACATACGTATGGCCACAGTATGTTGACATAAAGCCTATGTTTACATATTAATAGCCACAGTATGTTGACCTAAAGCCTATGTTTACATATTAATAGCCACAGTATGTTGACCTAAAGCCTATGTTTACATATTAATAGCCACAGTATGTTGACCAAAAGCCTATGTTTACATATTAATAGCCACAGTATGTTGACCTAAAGCCTATGTTTACATATTAATAGCCACAGTATGTTGACCTAAAGCCTATGTTTAAGCCACAGTATGTTGACCTGCCTATGTTTACATATGTATGGCCACAGTATGTGGACATAAAGCCTATGTTTACATATTAATAGCCACAGTATGTTGACCTAAAGCCTATGTTTACATATTAATAGCCACAGTATGTTGACCTAAAGCCTATGTTTACATATTAATAGCCACAGTATGTTGACATAAAGCCTATGTTTACATATGTATGGCCACAGTATGTTGACATAAAGCCTTTGTTTACATATGTATGCCCACAGTATGTTGACCTAAAACCTATGTTTACATATTAATAGCCACAGTATGTTGACCTAAAGCCTATGTTTACATATTAATAGCCACAGTATGTTGACCTAAAGCCTATGTTTACATACGTATGGCCACAGTATGTTGACATAAAGCCTATGTTTACATACGTATGGCCACAGTATGTTGACATAAAGCCTATGTTTACATATTAATAGCCACAGTATGTTGACCTAAAGCCTATGTTTACATACGTATGGCCACAGTATGTTGACATAAAGCCTATGTTTACATACGTATGGCCACAGTATGTTGACATAAAGCCTATGTTTACATACGTATGGCCACAGTATGTTGACATAAAGCCTATGTTTACATACGTATGGCCACAGTATGTTGACATAAAGCCTATGTTTGCATACGTATGGCCACAGTATGTTGACATAAAGCCTATGTTTGCATACGTATGGCCACAGTATGTTGACATAAAGCCTATGTTTGCATACGTATGGCCACAGTATGTTGACATAAAGCCTATGTTTGCATACGTATGGCCACAGTATGTTGACATAAAGCCTATGTTTGCATACGTATGGCCACAGTATGTTGTCATAAAGCCTATGTTTACATATGTATGGCCACAGTATGTTGACATAAAGCCTATGTTTACATATGTATGGCCACAGTATGTTGACATAAAGCCTATGTTTGCATATGTATGGCCACAGTATGTTGTCATAAAGCCTATGCTTTCATATGTATGGCCACAGTATGTTGACATAAAGCCCATGTTTACATATGTATGGCCACAGTATGTTGACATAAAGCCCATGTTTACATACGTATGGCCACAGTATGTTGACATAAAGCCCATGTTTACATACGTATGGCCACAGTATGTTGACATAAAGCCCATGTTTACATACGTATGGCCACAGTATGTTGACATAAAGCCCATGTTTACATACGTATGGCCACAGTATGTTGACATAAAGCCCATGATTACATACGTATGGCCACAGTATGTTGACATAAAGCCCATGTTTACATACGTATGGCCACAGTATGTTGACATAAAGCCTATGTTTACATACGTATGGCCACAGTATGTTGACATAAAGCCTATGTTTGCATACGTATGGCCACAGTATGTTGTCATAAAGCCTATGTTTACATACGTATGGCCACAGTACGTTGACATAAAGCCTATGTTTACATATGTATGGCCACAGTACGTTGACATAAAGCCTTTGTTTACATATGTATGCCCACAGTATGTTGACCTAAAACCTATGTTTACATATGTATGGCCACAGTATGTTGACATAAAGCCTATGTTTACATATGTATGGCCACAGTATGTTGACATAAAGCCTATGCTTACATATGTATGACCACAGTATGTTGACATAAAGCCTATGTTTACATATGTATGACCACAGTATGTTGACATAAAGCCTATGTTTACATATGTATGGCCACAGTATGTTGACCTAAAGCCCATGTTTACATATGTATGCCCACAGTATGTTGACATAAAGCCCATGTTTACATAGGTATGGCCACAGTATGTTGACATAAAGCCCATGTTTACATACGTATGGCCACAGTATGTTGACATAAAGCCCATGTTTACATATGTAGGGCCACAGTATGTTGACATAAAGCCTATGTTTACATACGTATGGCCACAGTATGTTGACATAAAGCCTATGTTTGCATATGTATATCCACAGTATGTTGACATAAAGCCTATGTTTACATATGTATGACCACAGTATGTTGACATAAAGCCTATGTTTACATATGTATGGCCACAGTATGTTGACCTAAAGCCCATGTTTACATATGTATGCCCACAGTATGTTGACATAAAGCCCATGTTTACATAGGTATGGCCACAGTATGTTGACATAAAGCCCATGTTTACATACGTATGGCCACAGTATGTTGACATAAAGCCCATGTTTACATATGTAGGGCCACAGTATGTTGACATAAAGCCTATGTTTACATACGTATGGCCACAGTATGTTGACATAAAGCCTATGTTTGCATATGTATATCCACAGTATGTTGACATAAAGCCTATGTTTACATACGTATGGCCACAGTATGTTGACATAAAGCCTATGTTTGCATATGTATGGCCACAGTATGTTTACATAAAGCCTATGTTTGCATATGTATGGCCACAGTATGTTGACATAAAGCCCATGTTTACATACGTATGGCCACAGTATGTTGACATAAAGCCCATGTTTACATATGTAGGGCCACAGTATGTTGACATAAAGCCTATGTTTACATACGTATGGCCACAGTATGTTGACATAAAGCCTATGTTTGCATATGTACGGCCACAGTATGTTTACATAAAGCCTATGTTTGCATATGTATGGCCACAGTATGTTTACATAAAGCCTATGTTTGCATATGTATGGCCACAGTATGTTTACATAAAGCCCATGTTTACATAGGTATGGCCACAGTATGTTGACATAAAGCCCATGTTTACATACGTATGGCCACAGTATGTTGACATAAAGCCCATGTTTACATATGTAGGGCCACAGTATGTTGACATAAAGCCTATGTTTACATACGTATGGCCACAGTATGTTGACATAAAGCCTATGTTTGCATATGTATGGCCACAGTATGTATGGCCACGGTATATTGACCTCTGTTTGCATGTGTATGACCACATTTTTTACCTTTGTTTACATGTGTAAATGTTGTTACAGTGGAACAAGTGATGAGGTGAAATCAGGACTGGACAACTGGAGTGTTTCCTGTATTGACAGACAGATACAGCGGTATGGTTTCTGGTCTAATGACGGTGAACAGAGTATCCTTTGTCTAGCTAAAGCACATCAACATGATAAGATCGTAAAGTCATTGTAAAGAATACAACTGATATTTGTGTATTTGGTATCAATACAATGATATCTATTTTGCCAACTTTCCAGTACTATATACTACTTTAATATGATTTATTTTCGTGAAATTTTTTCATCGATTACGTGTGGGTACTGTCCACCCACGAATTCCTAGGTTCATATTTATTTTAAGAAATTAGATTTAAGGTAGCATACACTAGATTTCCAAGGAACGAATTTAATTACCAAGGAAGCTAAATGAGCCTTTAAGATTTATTATTTTCGTTTTAAACAATATCCCAGAAATTACACTGGATTAAGGAGACATTGCAATAGACTAAAGTGTTGGAAATTGAACAAATAAAAAAAATCGATTTCCAGTGTATATAGTTAATAGGGTCCGATGTAAACAAAAACCAAAAACGAAAAAAAAAAAAAAAATCAAGGAAATAACAACAATTTGAAAATACACTCTACGATAACGAAGGCATAATGGAAACAAAGGAATGATTTAAAAAGATACCCTTAAAAAGTGTAACAGGATTAAGATCAGGTGTTCCGTATGGGTAACCTCTTTGTGCTTCATTGAGGACACTTGTAAATCTTACTTGATCACCAGGTAAACTAATGACAAGGAAACAGAAATACAGCATGTTTTACCATGTTAGTGTACAGAACGGACGATATGACTTCGTTAAGAAGACATACTTCACCCTGAGATACATGCTAATCTTTCCCAACTTTTGTTTTTCCTTACCTAACTGTAGAGTTTATTATGCTGGGTAATTTGGTCAGCTCATTTAGAATGCCTTGTATACTGGATATTAAGATGGGGACCCGCCAACACGGAGAAGATTCTTCAGAGGAGAAGAAAAAGTTACTGGAGGAACGGTGTGCACACTCCACCTCGGCTACCCTCGGAATCCGTATTTGTGGCATGCAAGTAAGTTGTCCGATACTCCGTCCATTCAAGTAGCTCGTGTTTCGGAAGAGAAGTGATATTCTCGACGACCAAGGAGTAACGGAACATGCTAGTTTAAATCATCAGAAGACAAAGAATATGCCTAATAAGTCTCCAAAAAGTCACAATTCCATAGAATCACCTGAGAATATGATACACCTTTCGATACATCTCTGAACTTTATATTATATCATTACTGTTAAATCTACATTTATAGTCCAACCAACATAATTAAACCAAGCTTATTTGTTGTTTACAAGTTTATTAAGGACTTTGGTTTTTGGCAGGTATTCCAGGCAGAAACTAATACCTACCTAAAGTTTAATAAATATCATGGACGGGCCCTAGACGATGATGGTCTTCGTCAAGCACTGCGGCAGTTTTTCAGCAACAGCCTCACTCTGAACATTCGTGAACTTTCCCGAATGGTATCGAAACTGCGCAGACTCCATCACGTGTTATCTACGCAACATACATTTTACTTTTTCTCATCTTCTCTGCTGCTGTTTTATGATGGTTACATGGACGCTTGCCAGTATTCCGACCAATCAGAAGCCAAGGGTTCCGAACAAACTCGTGGCCAATCTGGAGAAGGTTTTCATGGAAGTGGTCCATCACACAATCTTCCTGAAAGCTTGATAGTTGAAAATGAAGACAAGCTCAACCAGACTTGTTGTGATGACGACATCGGTACGGCAGATGTCCGCATGATTGATTTCGGTCACACGGTACTGAAGTCTGATGTTAAAGAACACCAAGGAGGCACGGAGGAAGGTATTCTGTTTGGTTTAGAAAACCTTATAGAAATTTTACAGTCCATCGCTGACAGTTAAGTTTCTCAGGAAGGTCCATTCTATTTCGGGGACGATCAATTAGCATCTTTTATTCATTTATAGGATCAAGGTAGACAAAACGTTTGTTAATTCAGTTTCTTTCGAAAATATTTGTTTGAGACTCACGAAATTTTCAAACCCGAAAACAAATTTGTTTCCCAAAACAATAAATTGATAAATAAACCAACCTTGTTACAAACATAATGGAATGCCAGTCTCACCAACAGATTTCGTTGTTAATCCTCTTTTAGGAATGTAGGACTTTTCTAATTGTAAATAATTACTTTGTGAGATATTCTGTAGGAACTTTTATTAGTATTATGATATATGGTTATAGGGTCAATATTTTCTATTTTACAACTTAGTTTTGAAGAGTTCATCGAGAAACCCCTTTTAAACCTTCCTTCTGGGGTATCGCATAACCTTTATACAAAAGAGTTTTGATAAATAAATATCGTTTGCTGTCATGATATATGCATATCAGATGATCCACGCATCTTTGAAATCCCATGTCTATTGAGATTAACTTCGCTACATCTTTGGAATACGAACATCATAGATTCCGCTCTCGATTGATTCAGCTTACACCACGCCCATTTTGATATAACGTGATACAGCGATTTTATGTAGAATATAATATCTTTGATTAGTAAAGTCATATGTAGTTCCATATTGACTTTGTAATGTCAATGATAGACATATTCCAAGGATGCAGACAAGCTTTTGAGATTTCAAATCGAAATCATTGTATATCCTACAAGATGCGACGTTCATCACTCACAAAGTGACCTTCAAATGATCAATTCTATTTCATCAATTCGAATAATGATATACATTGTACTATTGGCAGCACATATGACAGTTGTTCCGACACGGATACATTTTGTAAGAGTTTCGTTTCGTACATCCTCAACTAACCGGTGAATACTGCCGTTGTATTGATAATCACACTCGATATTGTTGCAATATTTTTATTTTGCTGAACCTTGTGTACTTTTTTGTTAATATGCCATTTTGATCGCCATCTTGTCGCACATTGTCACACGCGTTAATTTAATCATATATCCACTTTTGCCCAGTCAATATAACAATAACTATATTTATACATATTGAGGTCTTTCTCTTTTCATATCAAATGTCTTTTCTAATTCATGTAAATACGTAAGGGTACTGACGTCATCGACTTGACGAGTACTGTACAATGTATGGACTGTGTTATTTTACGATAGGTGTGGAATGACGTCATCGACTTGTTCAGTGGTGTACAATCTATGGACTGTGTTATTTTACGATAGGTGAGTACTGACGTCATCGACTTGATGAGTGCTCTACAATGTATGGACTGTGTTATTTTACGATAGGTGAGTACTGACGTCATCGACTTGACGAGTTCTGTACAATATATGGACTGTGTAATGTTACGATAGGTGAGTACTGACGTCATCGACTTGTCCAGTGATGTACAATCCATGGACTGTGTTATTTTACGATAGGTGAGTACTGACGTCATCGACTTGATGAGTGCTCTACAATGTATGGACTGTGTTATTTTACGATAGGTGAGTACTGACGTCATCGACTTGACGAGTTCTGTACAATATATGGACTGTGTAATGTTACGATAGGTGAGTACTGACGTCATCGACTTGTCCAGTGATGTACAATCCATGGACTGTGTTATTTAACGTTCGGTGAGTACTGACGTCATCGACTTGACGAGTGCTCTACAATGTATGGACTGTGTTATTTTACGATAGGTGAGTACTGACGTCATCGACTTGACGAGTTCTGTACAATATATGGACTGTGTTATTTTACGATAGGTGAGTACTGACGTCATCGACTTGACGAGTTCTGTACAATATATGGACTGTGTTATTTTAAGATAGGTGAGTACTGACGTCATCGAATTGACGAGTTCTGTACAATATATGGACTGTGTAATTTTACGATAGGTAAGCACTGACGTCATCGACTTGTTCAGTGGTGTACAATCTATGGACTGTGTTATTTTACGATAGGTGGGGACTGACGTCATCGACTTGTTCAGTGGTGTACAATCTATGGACTGTGTTATTTTACGATAGGTGGGGACTGACGTCATCAACTTGTTCAGTGGTGTACAATCTATGGACTGTGTTATTTTACGATAGGCGGGTACTGACGTCATCGACTTGATGAGTGATGTACAATCTATTATCTGTATTTTTTACACCAGGTAAAAACACGTTAGAATAGAATAATGCCTACAGTTTAGATATTTAAAATACATCTAGATTTCCTATCACCTCCACCCAACTTAACGATATTGAATACTTTTAAATGACATGACATTATTTACTCTAGTTTATTATGCGGTTTTGATCTTGTTACCAATAACAAAGCTAAACACTTTGTATGTGACCTTGTCACTACGGAGGTTTCCTAAATATGAATATGTTAACCACCAGACCGGTATTGAAATTATTTGAAATACACCGATTAGGAGAAGTTTTTTAACACGAAAAGCCACGCCTGACTGAACCTTCTTACGAATGTAACACAGTATGGTATCGTCTGTCTAAATAAACGAAGTCGGTGTAATGGCTGTAAATAAGAAATAGAATCTGTCGGTAGTGTCCTTATATTGGTGCAAAAACCACCGTGAAATACTAACACCTATTTTTGTTCAAGCATTATGTATATGTAATATATTTACTTAAGGTTCCGAAGTGCACATTCATTGTAACTAGATAAAACGCTGACGAGAATTAGCGAGTCTTTTCAAATATCGACTTGCAAGAAAAAATGAAAGTCACTTTAAATAACAGACCTTGTTTTCTCATTCTGATGAAAAAGTATGTGTTAGAATTTTACGGGTGGTTTTTAATGGCCACTAAAAGTCGTTAGTCATTGGTCGCATCTTATAAGGTTCAGGGTTTACAAAACAAGCCATTTTAGGTGCTGGAAACACCCGTCAACTGCTTGTCAGTTTACCGTCGAATATTCGATGTTATCTGCTGTGTCCTCGTTGTTGTGATGTTTACTATTGGTTTAGGATGGCTTTTTTTCTTCAGTCTGTGGTCTATGTTAAGAACGAGTGTGTGACACTGATGCATTAAATAGGCGATATGACGTGTATATCTCGGTTATTTGTGTCGAATTATATTCTTGTAATAACGGTTCTTGTCACTTTTGTCTATTTCTCGATGTAAATGAATTTATATCAAAGCCGAATTGTCATCCTCATGGATTTGAACAGAAAGGTGTTTGTCTTTGTACACTGGATGATGTATCAGAATTGATCTGTGTGTCATGTTTGTAATTTTAGTTATTTCAAAGTAATGGTTAATGTGAAAAATTAGAATTAATCCACACGGAAATTTACATTTATTATCATACACTTTGTGAGAATTATCTCCCTTTTGAGAATTACCTCCCTTCAATGGTGCTTTTCCCAGTCACCTGCATCACATGGTTTTTCATTATTCGAGAACATCGTTTTCAATTTTTTTCCAGTATATGTCATACAACTTGCCAATAATGTTCAAAATAATTGATAAGGTGCCATTATTAATTATATGCTGATTGACCTACTTAACCATATTCTAACTAAATACCCTAAAAACTTGAAAATACGTCGACCTAAAGAATAAACCTGTCTTGAAAAAAGCTTGCAGTTTCCTACGTAAACAAGTCTGCTGTAAAAGAAAATAAGCTTTCCTACGTAAACAAGTCTGTGTTTACCTGCTGTTAAAGAAAATAAGCTTTCCTACATAAACAAGTCTGTGTTTACCTGCTGTTAAAGAAAATAGGTTTCCTACATAAACAAATCTGTGTTTACCTGCTGTTAAAGAAAATAGGCTTTCCTACATAAACAAGTCTGTGTTTACCTGCTGTGAAAGAAAATAAGCTTTCCTACGTAAACAAGTCTGTGTTTACCTGTTGTTAAAGAAAATAAGCGTCGTGTTATTTTTGAGATTTTAGGATTTACCACTTGTTTTTCATCCTACTCAATCTACAGGGTTATTCCTCCATGTTATTTTTGTTAAAACTTGGAGAAAATTGTTGAAAGAAATGATTTATATTTTAAGGAATGTTTTCAATGTCTGTTGGTGATATGTCCTTTTTCTTCATGTTATATTACACATTAAACTTTAATGCCTTACTGAGCCTATTGGTCGGTACCTTGTATTTTCAGAGTAACTTTTGTAAAAATCCTTAATTGACCAACATGTTCTTAATTCTTCCTTATACTTTGATATTTTATGAATATGAATTTGTGAATGCTTGTTAATGTTTGTACAAATTCATTACAGTATTTTATATATTTCAATGCCGTATAGCTGTGTTGTGGGCGAAGGCTTGTTAATGTTTGATACTGATTGCTAGAAAATAACTATTTGATGAAGAAGATTTTGTAGCATAAACATGCCTTTAGAATTGTAAACGCCATGGTTTTAAGTACAAACACCCAAAGTGTTCCGTCTATTTTGAACTGCAATATGTAATTTTTGTTCATGTTTATCTATTTAGTCGTTTTCGAGTCTTTCTAATTCATATAATTAACATATTTTTGATATTTCTAGAAAGCGTTATAATATTGTGTTGGGCTGATAGTTTATTATATCGGTACTTTATATACTCTATTCGATGTGAAAACTTTATGTAATTTTTTCCTACAAGAATAAACTGTTCAGTAAGTGGAAAAATCCTATTTATCCCCACGAAAGTTGGCGGGGCATCTCTAAATTTCGAGTTCCGTCGGACTGGGGGCGTATTCGGAGCATAATTCTAGAACTGTTCAAGATTTTACAAATTATTCTCCTACTAACATCTATCAAACGTGCCTTTTTCTGTGGAGCATTTGTAATTATCCTAAATTCCTTGGAAACAAATAGACAAATACATTAATGTAAACGTTTCTGGTCCAAGGCCGCTCAAGATAACTCCTCGAAAATTCCAGCATCATTCATATGATCAAGAAGTACCATTTGGCATTAGTATACAAGAATCATCTG